GTTGACAGTCTCATTCGATCCATGTGGTCCTTCATTATCGAATTAGCGCGAGGCCAACTTTCACCGGAATCATTACGTAAGCAAATTTCACAGTCTATTGTTTATGTTCTGCTCTAAAGAATTTCGGCATCGCGGTAGCACTGACGTTAACGGGTTTCGATAAGCTTAAGAAGCCCTAAGTGACAGTCTCGGAGTTTTTGTTTTTTACTTATTCTTTACCTATGTATTTTTCGCTGCACTTGACATAGGCTCGCCTCGGAATCAAGAAGGAAATCACTAGCAGACGATTTCCTTTTGACTAATTTATTGGTATGCTCCTGAACAGCCAAGCGCTATGCTGTTCTTAAGGTTAAAAAAATGACACCACCACGTGGTGGTTCAAGCATGTGCATTGACTGCTGTCTTCCTTTACCATCTCCACTACCAAAATTTTAACTTTAACTTTATTACGGTAGAATCGCTATTATGGTTTTAACAGTAAATTAGTATTTTACTCGATGTTTGGTAAGTACTGCCATTTTTTAATGTAGCAGCACAGTTAATTAACTTGATAGAAGCAAATGTGCTTACTGAATACCATGAGTAATGTAATCTCTGTTTTGTCAGATTATTTTTATCTAACACCAATATTAGAAGACCGCCTAGCCTTAAATTTTGGACATCATTGGCCAAACGGCTTGTGCTTACGTCTACTGTAGTGATACCCTCTGAGCTTTTAATTGTATTGGCCTAAACCATGAATGGGAATATTGGGAATAATTTTATAGTTTTGTAATGAGCGGCATTTAAGACCTCACTTTTAAACCCTTATTTGGTGTTTTATACAAGGCTTGGACTTAGCATTACCCCTCGTTTCATTAAACTCCATGCGGGTCCGGTGAAAGCATCTGCTAAATGAAAGAACAGACTGATCTCATCTGTTGTGCGTCGTCATTAGTGATGAGGTTGTTTTGGAAGACGTTAACCTGTGTAATGGCTTGGAGTGTAGGATTTCGAAAAGGGTCACTATAACATCGCAAATGGCGTTGAAAATAGATGCATTATGGTGACTTGTTTCTTTTCGTCTACATTTCGGTAATACAATGGGTTTGAATCTTAGAATAGGCCTATTCTAAACCCGTACAAAGATCTACAATGCTACCATCTAAGGCCATTCGTAGGTACTTGTATGTGCTTCAAAGCCTTATCCATCCCAATAGCAAGCGTGGATCTTGACGGTTGGAGAAACGGTAGCAACTTCCCCTTCATCAATCGCAGCGATGAAATCTCGCGGATTCGTTCGATGGTGGTGGCTCTGGTGGACAGCTTGCATACTGCAGCGTCTGAAAGGCAGGAGGATGACTCAAATTCGGTGGTTCGCCATGCTGTAGATTGCGTGAGACCTCATGTGCAGCGCATGCTTGAACGCAACCTCGACCCACACAGCTTCAATGTGTGTCCCGAATTGGTTGATCTCCTACTCAATGACCACGCCAGTGATGAGGCTGTTGACAACATTCCAGAGCGCGATGTGGTGGCGTGGGGGACGTCGCTTGCGGTGCCCCTTGGTGTGGCACCTCTGGACTTGCGTAGGAGTTTACACAACTTCTTAGCGGTGTGTTTTTTAGTAGCGTAACCGGTCTTATCATCAATCAGAAGGACCACTGA